GAAATCTGTCAAATTTGTAGCAGTGAAGATGTGGTTGTTATTAAAAAAGAGAAGAAAAACTGCATTTTTTTAAAATTAATATTTTCTATAAAGTGTATTCATTGACTGACCAAAGGGTACACTTAAAAGGATGATATTTCAGCCACACTGCTGACCTTTTAGTAACAGTCGAGCAATCAGACTGCAGTAAACAAGGGTGATAGAAAGGAAGGAGAGTGCCTCAGTTATTTGTTTATCATGGAAATTATTTCAAAAAAATAAGTGTACTTTRCAAAAGATGAAATGACCTAATCAACACTGCACCATAATCCTTCATGTCTAGGTCTTGAAATTCAAATGTATTACAGCTTTCATCCTTTCAACTGATTGGCCTACAAACTTGTGAGACCCTGTGCAAGCATTTGTGCGAACACACACACACACACACACCCACACAGCTGGTACTTTCATGCTGACTGGTACCTCATTAAGGTGAGAAGTGAATGGAGTAGCCCTAAGAGAGGGGGAAAAAAACTCACCAAATAGGTAAATGTATTCACACAGACCCACACACGCCTAGAGAGAACACAATCACACCTACAGAGAGGGAAAATTGATTTCATCAGAACACAGGGAGATCAAAAGGCTTATTATAATTGGTCTCTAAATGTGGCAGACCTCACCAACCCACTCTCCCAAGCACATGCACCAGACCACAGACATCACTGAACAGAAAAACATGAATTCACTGATAATAGATGTGCTTGTGACTTATAGAAAGTTAATGAAACACAGAAAAGCTTTGTTACCAGTGTAGAAGTTATGCAGTTATCACAACAAGGCTTTTGGAGGGTTAAAGGTTCACTGGGAAAAAATGAAATGAGGACAACACACTACAACAAAGCACTGAAACAGCAACACACAAAAAAGAGAATGTGGAAAAGGCTGGAGAATTGGGATATGAAAATGATCCTCCCATTATAAGGATTAATAACTATATATGCTCTTGGCTCTTTTCTCTCCCGAATCGAATTAATCACCACCACTCCCACTAGCCTACCCTTTCCCTCTGCTCACTCTGCTTTTATTTCACCCACCTCCTCCTCCCCCTCCGTCTCTTACTTTCTCTCTCTCTCTCATATTCTTTTGCTAATTGGGCTATCTGAGGTGCCGACTTCAAAAGGCACCTGCTATGAAACACAAAGTCTGCAAAAGTTAAAATTAAAAACAATTTAAAAACAGACAGTCTAGCACGTACATATTAATGCTAAATAAAAAGTGCACAAATTCTAGAAATGTTGGTGACCAGACATATTTTCAAAACACAGCTTTGAATTCTGATTAACCAACATTATCCATTGTTATAAAAGAAAAAAAAAAAAAAAACCGAAAAGAAAAAAGTAAGCACTAAAAAGGTAGTAAACAAACCACTTCAAAGTGAGGAATTAAAAAAGTAGCTTAAAGGGAAAAAAGAGGGATAAGCTCACCGCCTAAAATCTTTTATACTGCACTAATCGCTTTATAGACTAAGCAAATCTAAACAACAAGGCTGTTTACAATTTTAAACAGCCACATGAGAAACACTGAAAAAGTCTAACTATAGAGTAGAATTATTCATCCAATAATACTGCAGTAGAATTTGAATAGTTGCGGTTACTTCAAGTTTTATTTGTATAAATGTTTTACATTTATTCCTAAAGGATCTTCAAGTAGAAACTCCAAGCTAACAAATAACTTGGATCCAACCAAGAATTATAAAAATTCATAAAGGTTTGCAGTTTTGATAAAGTATAGTATCAGTAAAACCTTTACTGATACATTTATAAAACACACTTAACACCTAATACACTTAACCCATAACCAATTATCAGTATCGCTACAATGAGTACTCTGGGTCACATGTACACTAGGAGGTGTGTAATTGGGCCACACCTTTAACTCATAAAGGGCTCGACACACGGGAGGCGACGTCGCTCGCTCTCCATTCATTTCCTATGGARSYTGTGCGGTGAGGCGACAATCGTAGCCCTCCTCCAGCCAAGCGACCGGCGAAAATAATGCATGTGAAATTTCGCGCTCATACACGTAGACGTGCACATGCGAGCTTGTGACGCGACATATGAAAGTTGAAAAATGTTCAACTTTTGTCGCTGTCGCTTAGCGTACAACCAATCAGCGAGGGTTTCATTGACTGAACAATGAGAGGAGAGTGTGCTACACACTGCCGTTAGCTAACACTTTCACCAAGTGATTACTAAAAAGCTTTGTGGGAATTTATTGGCACCAGGGTGAAGTTTATGGTAAGTTTTTCCTCATAAAACTGTATCTTGATGTGTGTTTGTTTTTCAGTATCATTAGCATCGCAAGATTTGTTTACTTTAAACGTCCGTAAYGCACACCCGCCTTCAGAGTCAAGAACCAATCAAATTTTGTGAAGACAAGCGACCTGAGAGCGCGATTCGCAAYGCTGCGATCGCTATCGCGTCCCATGTGTCGGGTTTCACCCTGGCTGCGATGACAGCCGTTAATCGCCGTAGTTTGTCGCTGCCCATGTGTCAAGCCCATAAAACTACTTTAAAAGCCTAATATCTGATTTTCAATCCAGATGTTCTGTTTATCTACTCTTGTAATTTACAGAACACTACCATCAATAATGGGTTCAACTAAAAAAGGTACTTGCAGAAACTTCAGTACAGTAATTTGATAAAAACTGCCAGAAAAATCCAGGTACAAAAAATTAAATCATTTAGGATTGTTCAGTAATGAAAAGTTCAAACCATGATATATTCTTGCCAGTCAGATCTCAATTAAAAACGTTTTACAGCCTGATTACTGACAAACAACTTCATCAGGTAGATGTTTGGGGATGTGAGCACATGGAACCAGACTTTTACATTAAAAAATGAACACAACTGAACATAAGTCAAACCATTTCAGAATAAATATGTTTTAAATAAACTTTACATACCACTAATGCAAACAGCTTAATTGGGTGTATATAAATACAGTTTAGTTATAAACTTTTATTAAGCTAAAGGCTTTCCACTATTGGCAAGATAAAAAAATAAAAATAAAAATCACAGTTTATATTTAATGTTCTGGGACCATACTAGTTGAAGCTTGAGGGCAGCTACAAAGATTACCAAGAAAAAATAGCAGCACTAATAATAAAACTCAGTATTGATTAGATGAAGCAGGTGCTGTGGTGAAGATGTGTGGATACAGCAATTAAAAAATAATTTAAAATGGCTCCATATGAAAATGTATCAAACAAAAGTGCAGCAGGCAAACAGCTAATCAATCAGCTCGTGTTGAGATAAACTAAAATGCAGGCAAATATTGCCAATGTGAACTCCATTAATAATAGAAAGCTGAAGAAAATGGTACAAAATTATTATATTTTTAGCAAACGTCAATCTTAATTAACTTAAATTTCAAGTTACAGTTATGAAACAGGTTCAGAGTTGATAGTCACATTTGTTAGTTAAATTCAAGTATGTTTTATAGTTGAAACTGGAACAGGCTTGTTTACAAAAGGTAAACAGTTAAAGCAAATATATACGGAGCAAGACGACAAAAAATGTCATAGGTAAAAGCAAACAAAAACCAGCACACCATGTGTGAATGTGCTACAAAAGCTGTGCAAAGCCACAGGGCAAGGTTCCCCCACCACAAGTTGTGTACATGCACATTCAACTACTGGGCAACAAATAAAGATGAGAAGGAAGGGTCAAGGTGGATCAATGGTGACTTGGTGTGATATTGGCCATTCCTGCAGTCCTCTCCAAAAACTGACCAAGAGGTCAGGAGTAAGGAGAGGGATAGAGTGCTCAGGAGGAATGTATGAGGCTTTGAGCAGTGTTTAAAATGTGAATGAAGGGCAAAGGGTGAAGGCTGAGTCCACATGACCAGAGCTGGTTGCTTAAAGGGACTCTGTGCTTTTATTGTCACAAACTGCACCAGCAGAGAAACATAAGCAATCTCTACAAAAACCCATTGGTGATTAATTATAAACACAAACTTGAAAGTGAACAGAAAAAAGCATGCAAGTAAAATCTCCTAAGAGATTCCGTAAAATCTCAAACTAATAAAAAAAAACAGTGAAGATTCAAAAGACACAAAGAAAATCAACACTCGCACATCTACCTTCTATCCACTCAGGCCCACCCCAGTCTGATCCACACAAAGACAGGTGTAGGGCTATGAAAAGGCCACGGTGTCTTTATATACAGYGCTCAGAAAAGGTTATTAGACATCACACAGAACAGGCGGCTGTCTCCGCCAATAAAAAGAGGATTCATGGGTGCATGGGCCAAATGGTGTATAGGCAGAGCTGGGAGGGGTGTCAAATTACTGAGAGGCAGGCCGGCATTATGATTTGATATACAGGTGAATGCAGATGGGACAGCTGCCAACCGTGACATTTRACTGACATCAGAAGCTAGCTTATGCTATGTGTGCCTGTTTATGTATTTGACCTGAAAAGGACAGAACGTGTGCACGCCTGTGTGTGTGGTGTACAGAGACTGAAGGTCAAATGAAATCACATACACGCCAAAACACGCYGTCTGGAAGTTCATGCTGTCCTAGATATAATTTGAATATGGAGAAGTTCGAGCAGAAGGCGCAGTGACACTGGGACAAGGTGATTGGAGTGGACAGGTCTGTGTGTGTGTCTGTGTGTACAACCATGTGTCAGCGCTTTGTGCTAGGACAGCTGGTGGCTAGTCAAAGAGCATCAGTGACCTTCTTCTTATCCCTTCCTATACCATCTTCCTTTTTGTCCGTCTCCCCCCCAAGTCCCAATTCATCTCACCCACTGATGAGTGTTCTGTCTCTGCACATTGGGATGATGAACTGCCAGGTGTGAGTGGATAATTCATGAACTTATGTAAAATTCTGTTCCGTCACTTTATCTCTGAATAATGTAAATGTGAAGTGTTTGTTTCAAGGTGACAAAAAAAGAGAAGGAAAAGGGACATTAGGTGTCAAAAGATAGAAAAAATGTGCAATATACTTACCTTTGTTGCCTGATGGAAGTAGAGAACAGACATCCAGAAAAAGGAGAAAAAAAGGAGAAAAATATGTAAGAGAGGGGACAAGAAAAAGACAGTCATTATTGAGACATGCAACAGACACAMASAAAAATAAAAAATAAAAAATGATATTGAAACATGTAAGCTACAAACTCACTCTTTGTTTGAGAGGAAAACGTAAAGGTGAGTTTGGCAAAGAGTTCATTGTTTTTAAACTGTTCCTCATCAGCCTTGACCCAGAAACTGTTCTCATTGAGATCCTCCGCTCCAATCTAAGGGAAAACGAAGAAGAGTGAAGTGAATCACATCTGTTAAATGATTGTTTTATCAAACCGGCTCAATTTTACAAAAAYGGCTATCTGTGCACCTGGCAAACAATGAGACAAGCAGAGAAAGAAGTCAATAGAACAAAAGAAACTGGCAGGGGTATGATGAGAGTGGAAGATGATTGAGGAAGGAGAACACAATGCAAGAGGAAGATACGTGTAGTCATTTTCTCTAATTGTTGCACACTTACCACCAAGAAACTTGAGCTCAATTAAAAGTAAAAAAAAATCTTTTTTACCTCTTTCTTTACTCTTTTCTTACCCTTATTTGTATGCACTCACACAAGTTACAATTAACTTTCCATATTTTTTTCTTCCACTTTCTAAATGTTCTTATCGGGGGGGGGGGGGGGGTTGTGGGTCGTACTTCTACTGTAGTGCTATCCCAAATTATTAAGTTATTTGCTTTTTATGTCATATTAGCTTTAATAAATATGATTTTGGGGGGTGAGAGGAGAGAAAACCCAGAGCGAGTGAGAAAGCAGTGGTAGTAAATTTATAGATATCAGGCCTTTCATTATGGACAAAGCCTCAGGGATGGGTGTGGGACAGAAAAGAAAGAGTAAGGAAAAGAAATGTGATATGGGAATGAGTCGAAGGAAGGGAGCATGCAAAAAATAGAGGATGAGGCCGAAGCTGAAGGAAAAAAAAGTTAATTTAAATTACAAAAGAATACCATCCTTTCTAGCAGCAATTTAATTATCTTTCAGTGGTGCAGCTAAAAGAAGGCGGCTTATTAAAACGCAATTTCTGTGACATCCTCGTCAAACCCTCACACCATCCCAACAAAGCCAGAGCGAGAGAGGGAGAAGCTAAATGCTGATGAAGTCTGCTTTAGCCATTAAACAGTAGCTTTAGGCTAAAGAAAGACAGAAGGGCGTTTTGATGTTTTAACCATCACAGATGAGAGGGCGTAAGAAGACATGAAGCACATAGTCATGAGATACACGTATGCATGCAAGTCACTTTAGGTCAAAATCTCACTGTCAAAGCTCAGTCTCCCGTTTCTCTCATACTGAATTACCGATTAAAACTCACGCTGAGCTCTTTCAGACTTTCAGACTGTCTTGGCACTAAAATGATACAATTGTATTTACAAAGGCAGCGAGAGCAAGCAAGCAACTAATAACCAAGACACTTCGTAACAGACATGATTTGTTTTTAAGGCAGAAACAACAGTTACAAGTATTTAATCTAAGTCAGGAGGTTTGTTTTTAACATCATCCAATGATTTAATATTTTTCTACCGTCTGCTTCGGGTCTCACCTTGCTCCAGTTTGCCTTCTTCATTTGGACCTCAGGCTTGTATTCCTTTTTAGGCTGGAGCCCAAAAGGTAGCGCAGGTGGTGCAGGGGCACCCCAGCTGCCCATTGGTGGAGGTGGGGGCATGCCTGGGCCTGGGGGAGGTGGAGGAATACCCGGACCACCGGGCGGGGGTGGTGGCGGAGGAGGTCCCATACCCGGTAGGGGTGGAGGCGGAGGAGGTCCCATACCCGGCAGGGGTGGAGGCGGTGGGGGTCCCATCATGCCAGGAAGAGGCGGGGGCGGTGGGGGCACTGGCATGCCAGGTAAAGGAGGCGGAGGAGGAGGGGGAGGAACACCACTGTGACCTGGTAATGGAGGAGGGGGTGGAGGTGGAGGGGGCATCCCTGCATTCTGGCCAGGTAGGGGCGGGGCAGGTGGTGGAGGGGGCAAACCAGGCGTGGGCACGGGAACAGTAACTGTCACAACTTTAGTTTTGGCCTCTTCTAGATCTTTTGAGAGCTTTTCAATCTGCAAGAAAGTTTATATTATTCCATAATAACATTTAGAACATGAGACTTCAGATTTTCAAATTCTTTAAAGTACCATAAAATGTTAAGAAATCTAACCTCTTATATGTTTGACTGCTCACTGTGTACACGACTCTGCATTAAAGCAAGTTTTTTTTTAATTCGTATGAACCACTGCTACTTTAATTCAAATTAATTTACAGCTTCAACCCTCGTTTTTTTTATATATTCTCCAAGCCCAGTTTCAGGCAAAAACCTTTGGTGTGATTATTATTATAAAAGTCAGTTTTGCAAGAGTTTGATCTACAGTCTCACTAAAGCCTGCAGGTTAGGGTTGCAGGATTTTGTAAAAAATAATATAAAATTAAATTAAATTAAATTAAATTAAATTAAATAAACCTATAGCTTTTTTTTTCTCTCTAGCCCTACATTTAAAAAATAGACTAAAAAATAGAAGACGACTGAGCTTTAGTAGCAAATGCAGGTTAGAGCACAAAGAATTACACAGCAAAATTAAGTCGACAGAGGAATTCATATTCTAAATCAGGACACATTTTAATTAGAACTGAATGTGAAACAATTTTTTTATTATCCATACTGAGTATCGACAACAGTACTGACATCAGCAGCTGTCCAGGTTATTACAAATCATCAGTTAAGAACAGATTTGTATTTGAATATGTATTGAGATAAATATTTTCTATGTTAAGTATGTCAAGTGAAAAAAAAATGTGAGTGTGTGTGGAACATCGTCTACATGCGGCAGCGTAACAAATTGTTTGTGTTGTTTTCTCGGACTTTGAAAAGAAGACAGTAACAGACGAATGGAGCCTTCGAGGCAGGCTTTCTTAGTGCGGCAGCAGATGAAGAAATGGGCACAGCATCATACACGGGGACACAGATCTCTACATGTGAAGAAATCTTCCATCGGCACTGCCTCAAACACAGAAAGTGAGCCATCTTAGTATGAGAAGCTCGTTTGATGCCTGGCTTGCGATGCTGTTGATGCTTTGGACAACGGTGTGTGTGTGTGTGTGTGTTTGTTTAGAGCCTTTGTGTAGTTAGAAGTTGACTCTGCTGGCACCAGCCACTGCGGATGATGCTCATATTGGAAGTTGTGTAGCTGTTCAACTGACACACACACACACACACACACACACACACACACACACACACACACACACACACACACACACACACACAGAAATGTCTTCATAAGGTTATGAGCACACATTCACAGAGGCAGACGGTTCTGGGTCACTTGGTGTGTTTGTTTGTCACTGTGAGGCAGAGTCCAGCTGGTGTGTCAGCAGGACATTGACAGCTAAACAATCCTCATCTTTGCCACGAGTGTACACACAAACAGTATGTGTGTCTTGGCCTTAAAAAATATGGTTGTCCTGAGTCCATTCTCTTCTTTCTTCTCGCTTTAGTCACTCTGATTCCCCCATTTTCCATTATTTATAGAAATTCCTAATCTCTACAGGATTTGGCTTCTTTTCACAATATCCTTTTAGTTACTTTCCCTATTTTCATGCTTTGCTTGGCTAAATTATTAACGACCAAGGGGCTTCCATTTTTCTAAGCATGCACTGATGTTGGACAACTTTTTGGTGTTATGCCTTGAAATGTTTTCCATCTTGCAGATTTGTGGTGGCTGTAAWTTTGAATTCAGGTTTCCAGGACATCTAACATTTATTCAGCTATTTGGCTCAGTCCATTTTGATGCTGCCGTAAATGTTCAGTTCTTTGACACAGACAACATAGTGCAATGATAATAAAACAGTGAATTGGGTTAACCCAAGATGGTTAATTTAGGATGAAGATTTTTAGAAGACACTGAGGTAGGGGCATTTATCGGCCGCTTACGTAATTGCACTACATGGTAGGCTGTCCCAATTCATAGGCACCTACTAATGCAGCCGACAAAACTCCCAAAATGAATGACACATCTGAGTATCCTGCATGGCTGATGATATACCCAGAATTCAGCATACTAAACAGAAAAAAACAGGCATTTCTTTTTCATTTGTTTGTTTTTGGGCAGTTTGTAAGTGTATCTTTTAGGTTTTTTTAAAAGGATCCCCRATTAGTTGTCACATTAGACTTTATTTGCTAAACATACAGGTCCTTCTCAAAAAATTAGCATATTGTGATAAAGTTCATTATTTTCTGTAATGTAYTGATAAACATTAAACTTTCATATATTTTAGATTCATTGCACACCAATTGAAGTAGTTCAAGCCTTTTATTGTTTTAATATTGATGATTTTGGCAAAAAAGTAAAGAAAAATCAAAAATCCCTATCTCAAAAAATTAGCATATGATGAAAAGGTTTTCTAAACAACTTATTAACCTAATCATCTGAATCACCAAATTAACTGTAAACACCTGCAAAAGATTCCTGAGGCTTTTAAAAACGCCCAGCTTGGTTCATTACTCAAAACCGCAATCATGGGTAAGACTGCTGACCTGACTGCTGTCCAGAAGGCTCCACTGACACCCTCAAGCAAGAGGGTAAGACACAGACAGACATTTCTGAACGAATAGGCTGTTACCAGAGTGCTGTATCAAGGCACCTCAGTGGGAAGTCTGTGGGAAGGAAAAAGTGTGGCAGAAAATGCTGCACAACGAGAAGAGCTGCCAGTCAGTGATGGTCTGGGGTGCCATGTCAGCTGCTGGTGTTGGTCCACHGTGTTTTATCAAGGACAGGGTCATTGCAGCTATCAGGAGATTTTGGAGAACTTCATGCTTCCATCTGCTGAAAAGCTTTATGGAGATGAAGATTTCATTTTTCAGCACGACCTGGCACCTGCTCACAGTGCCAAAACCACTGGTAAATGGTTTACTGACCATGGTATTACTGTGCTCAATTGGCCTGCCAACTCTCCTGACCTGAACCCCAGAGAGAATCTGTGGGATATTATGAAGAGAAAGTTGAGAGACACAAGACCCAACACTCTGGATGAGCTTAAGGCCACTATCGAAGCATCCTGGGCCTCCATAACACCTCAGCAGTGCCACAGGCTGATTGCCTCCATGCCACGCCGCACTGAAGCAGTCATTTCTGCAAAAGGATTCCCCACCAAGTATTGAGTGCACAACTGAACATAATTATTTGAAGGTTGACATTTTTGTATTAAAAACACTTTTCATTTATTGGTCGGATGAAATATGCTACTTTTTTTAGGTAGGGATTTTTTGCTTTTTCTTTACTTTTTTGCCAAAATTATCAATATTAAAACAATAAAAGGCTTGAACTACTTCAGTTGGTGTGCAATGAAACTAAAATATATGAAAGTTTAATGTTTATCAGTACATTACAGAAAATAATGAACTTTCTCCCAATATGCTAATTTTTTGAGAAGGACCTGTATATTTTAACTGTAAAATAAAGACTGTAAAAATACTGTAGGCTGTTTAGTTTTGTAATTTTTTTAATTAAAAGTTTAAAAATTTATTACATGGAYGGGGCCATTTTATTTACACGCAAAGCATTCTGGGTAAATAAYGACATGKATAGGTCATCGGTGCAAGGCTGCTARCGAGCTATATCCACCCTGAAGGTTAATCTTGGACAATATCTGACGATTGGCTCTTTTAAATGAAACCAAAGAGCGTTGACAGAGAGGAGAAGGTAGAAATGACTCAGACTAACTGAAAATATGGATGGAGGACAACAGAGCTGCTTCATGGAAGAAGAACCTCAGCTTAGCCTGTTAGCTTTAGCATTTGCTCCGATGCTATCCCCATGTATATGTATTAGCTCAGCGCTATACATTCTCCTCTCATCGCTGAGGTCCTCCATCCACATGACAGAGAGGGGAACACAAAAAATGACTCAGCTGCAACTGAAAATATGGATGAAGGACCTCAGTTTAGGTCTTTAGTTTGTTGCGCTAGCACTGACCTAATACATATAAGGCAATATAGCATCGGCGCTAGTGCGAAGGCTAACAGGCTAAGCTGAGGTTCTTCCATGAAGCAGCTCTGTTGTCCTCCATCCATATTTTCAGTTACAGGCTGAGTCATTTCTACCTTCTCTTCTCTGTCAACACTCTCTGGTTTCATTTAAAAGAGCCAATTGTCAGATATTGTCCAAGATGAACCTTCAGGGTGGACATAGCTCGCTAGCAGCCTCACACCGAGGACCTATCCGCGTCATTATTTATCCAGAAAGCTTTGTATTAAAATATATTTTTAAAAATTATAAAAACTAAACAGCCTACAGTATTTTTACAGTCTTTATTTTACAGTTTACATAAATGTTTATCAAATAAAGTCTAATGTTACAACTAATCGAGGATCTCTTTAATGTATGTTTAGCATATTAACTGTAGATATTTTTGCTGCATTGACATGTTAAAATGTATTTACAAGTACTGATACTGGAGCTAAACCCAAAATATTAATGTTTATTTGTTTACGTGTCACATTTTTTAATAATACTGTATTTTATGGTGTTATACCTCTGGTGAAAAGACTTGTGAATACATGTTCCAGCCGGAGTCATGTRATTTAAAACGTCACACCATGATAACTGGGCAGAGCATGGTCACGCAAACATACATCATCCAAAGATTGGACCGTCTCATTTCACAGGTTGGCCTACGTGGGTCATGGTCCAAAACCCCTGAATTGGGACACAGCTTAAGTTCACATGAAAAATGGCTGATGTAAAATAAAAAAAAACCTCAAAATAAAAGCAAGTTAAGATTAAACTGAATCAAGAAAAAATGGTGTTTTCATTTCAGTGTACCTGCTTTTGCAACGAGCTTAGATCTTGCTGTAGTGCCTGATTTTCCTTTTCTCGCTCCTGCTTAGACGTGGCCAGCTGTTCCTTCTCCTGGCTCAGGTCCAGCAGCTTCTGTTCATAATCACCCTCCAGTTTCTTCAGCTCCACCTGCAGCTCGTGGCGTGCCGTCAGCTCTGCATCCAGCTGATTTATAGAAATTTAAATCATAGTTAGAGGCAGAGTCAGTCTGGAGTATTCTTCAAAAGTGGATAGTAGAGCTCATTTTTCTGGTTAATTTCAGGAGGTGTTATCTGAAAACTAGTGAACTGTTTTTTTCTTCTTCTTCTCAGATTTCTCAAGGACACTCAGTAAAAGGTCAAATTAATCCCTGGGCAGCACAGACACCATCAAATGAGTAATTCTGTGTTTGAACGTAATACATATTATTCAGCAATATCCTACTGGCTTATCACCRTCTGGGTCTAAACTTTGCTTAAAAAAATGTTGCTTCTTTTGTAATTTGATTAAAACACTACAGGTTATATTTTGCAAGACATTAGCCATAAAGGATTGCAAGAAGATTTCCATGTTTAGGATTTTGTGGGAAAATCCTCCACAGTCAACATAAAAATTATGGGGCAATCCCTCAGTATTAATGTTAAAGTCTCATCTTCCATGTTGACATCACTTTGCAAACATTTCATTAAAGGGATGATGAAGGGACAACTCTGGGTTCTATATTGAAATGTGGGAGCAAAGTGTGCTTGAACGCACACGCTTTCAGCATCCTTGTTGAAGAAGCAGTAGCTTTCATATCTCAAAACCTGTTGAAATTATTTCCAGCAGTCCACTTTGTTTTGTTACTGTATAATTTACACAGCAAATTAGTGTCAGTTCTAAACTGAGGACACTTCATTGCTTTTGTGTGAGCTCACTTCTCAATTCTTTTAAACCTTCACCTTAATGAGAGAAACATTTTACTCCAATTTTAATTTCCTCACTTACTGCACCTAWTTTTTAGACTCTTGACAAACAGAATAAGTTAAAAAAGGGATGAATACATGAAGACGCAGACACGCATGGCTGTCTAATTTGCAGAAAGCGGATCCGTTACTCTGGCTGTCAGCAGCCTGACAGCCTTATCCTTAATTCCTGCCAACGGGACTGCTTGCAATTATCCCATCATGTACAACTAGCAAAATGATGTGTGTGGTCCATAAAGAAAAAATGAATTCAAGTGTCTTCATGGAGAGCGTGGTTGTGTGGATGCGTGTCCATTCGATGGATACGATCCCACATGAAACGGAGCATCTTAATGCGTGCATGAATGAAGGCGAGTTTTCAACTCCTTCTTTCCAATTATCCTGTCAAAGGGATGGAAACATCAGGCTGGCAACACACGACAATCAAGGCATTTACCCTCTTTGTGTGTCTGCACGTTTGTGTGAGCGCTTGTCTGCCTGATGCCTTTTAAATGTGTGTATGCTCGCTCAATTAAAAAAAAAATCCTTTTCTCTTTCAGACTTCTTGCATCCTGACAATGATCAATCAGATTTGGACTATTATAGTAGGAGTTTATGGCTGGTGTTATTGAGCGGATAGTACTTGTGTGTGTAACATTCTATGAGGAAGCATTGATTTTTTTTTTTTACTATCAAATGTTTGTGTGCTTTTTACCTTTTTTTCCAGCTCAGCGGCTTTTGTCTCACTGAGTTCCACTTTGGTCTGATTCACCATGTTGTCTATAGACAAAAACAAGAGAAAGAAAAAAATGTTCTAGATAAGATAAAGATGTTGACAACACACCTGCACATGTCTAGACATAGTCATTGTATTTTTTTTTATCTTATGTGTATTCACATAAATTTACAAACAGATGAATCAGTCTTCCTATTTTTCCTCCTTATCACACCACTCAGTCAAGATCTATGAGGCGATTCCAGATCTATCTCATTACAATAGGACGCTTTGTGTTGCTTGCTGCTTCTACATGTCATTACCTTTTAAGCCCTCAGTACACACACCTTTGTTTGACTACAGGTATTTGTGACAGAAGCAGCAGCACATCGATTTCCCTTTATGCAAGATAAATCCCTTGTCTGTGAGTTTTTATATTATCAGATATTCTGCTCSGGAAAGGACAAGGCGGGAAGGACACAGAATGACCAACAGGATACTTTTACTGAATAATTGCAGGGTCAACAGGTGGCGCAGCGCTGAGGGGCTTACCAAGCATGTGCAGCGATAGAGCTAATTAATATGAAGATGAATGCCACAATGTCACTGGATCAAAGAGCGCTTATGATGCCCAGGAGGGGCAAAGAATTGAAGCAGATAGCAAAAATAGAAGGATGGGAGAAGCTAATATAAAAATAAATAAATAAAAAATACAAGTGAAAAGTGAACCATGCAGACTGTGAAAAGATGAAGTATGAAAATAGAGTTGCAGATAACAGATGAAAAAAAAGCTTTTTGTACTGAATGAAAATGTGAAGATTTCCCCTGATTCGGGAACTTTTTAGCAACATACCAAAGCCACAGGATGTTTCAGTGTGTATTTCTGTGCAGGTTTTACATGTGTAATGGATTTGGCGTCGGGGGTGGGTCTGCCGTGGCGGCTGGGGCTAAATGGGACAAACTTTGAATAGAGAGCACTAAGGGAGACAGAATGCAGAGAGGAAAAACTGTGCTGAATTTCAGAGTTCAAAGAAAAACACTAAATAATGCATGCGGGGCAGAATTGGGCTGCTTTCCACCAATAATAACTCTGACAGGCTTAAAGGAGGCCAGCCAGCCTTGTGCGTGTGTCAGGACGCATTTAGAAGCAGTGCAATTAGAGGCTCCTGCAGTGAGCAACGGAGACCTGCCATAAAGAGCAATGAACTCATGAGACATGCCCTGCACCTGCTTTCTACTCGGGTTCAGCTCACTGCAGTCAGGGTTCACCTATGACCACCGCTCCCGTCAAACATGCATGTGTACAAATGTCAAAAGATTTTCACTAAAATGGTTGTTTTATGAGTCCACATTTCCTATTTCTAGTCAACGGACGGTGACAAGAAGMAAACCACATGAATCAGGGACGATCACAAAGTCTGCTTTAATCCCCTCTCGCAACACCTTTCTGATGGCGGATTAACGGTCTGTGTGACCATTTCTGCTGGTTTTCAAAATAAATCTGACAATCTGTCATTTGCCAACACTACACACTGTGACTAACTTGCTTTTCCACCGTAGCAAACTGCTTTAAACATCTCTTGTTTTTCCCTATTTATTCAACTATTTGTGGCATTTTATCTGGTTAAACCAAGTGGAACCATGTGAATTTCCTCTTGAAGAGACCTAATGCCCCTAATTTAATGATAACGCACCACCTGCACCACTGGAAATGCTTCCCTGTTTATCTGCGAGTACTTCTATTCGAATCAAGTATAAACATTCAAGGCGGCGTGTCTTACAAAGTAGCTCTGACAGACCATAAATCAGCCCTAATACTTTGATTCCCGTAGAAAAGTCTGTGTCATGCCTGTAGCTGCTAGGGATTGTGTCTTCCCTCTCTGTGTCACAGGCACCTTGAGATGCTTGCAGGCAAATGAATCCAGACACTGCTGGCTTGTTTTATTAATACAGTCGCCATCAGAGCATGAGAGGTACCATCTAAGTACAAAAGGATTTGAAGGATTGCTGCATTAGGAAAGAAAAACTCTCCTGGGAAAAATGTATTTTATACAATTGATATATGGTGYTAAAACCTGCAAAACAATTCAGTTCATTCTAATGGCTCCCCTCTGGCTCCACCTTGTGGTGTCCGCWGTGCAATCAGTCACATCTAATATACTATTTCCTACTATCAGCTGCACTCTCCTTGCCCTTGTGTGTTAACAGTGTTAAAAACCACATTGTGCTTGCCACCTGTGAATGCTTTTTGGTCTTAAAACCCAGGTGTGCGTTCAAGAATAGCAGCAGGTGAAGAGCAAGAAGGTACACTCTGATTTAACAGCTCACCGATCAAGGTTTCAATGTTGATGTCGAGGTGACGGCACTTGAAGTCAGGGTCTGCCCCGTTCTTGTGCAGCACAATCTGAGCGATGCACTCGTCAATCAACTTGTAGTACTGGGGCCTGCAGGAGGGAAGGAGGGGTGCATTTACCAACAAAGGCATTTGGATACCAAAAAGTAAAATGGAARGACCAATATAAAAACACAGGTGGAGAAGATTTCAATGCAGAACATGGCAGAGGAAAGAAAATGCAGCACTTTTTACAGCAGCGTTTGTAATAAAAGCAAATGTGTGCGGATAGTGATATCAGCTCCCAACAAGTCGATAACAAATCTGGCACACAGTGTGAGGAGGGGGGTCACACTATGACTAAGAACAACTTTGTTCGCGTGCTCAGACAAATGTGTGAACACCCATCTCTTGCTACTTTGTCTTTGAAAGCGAAATTGGCTGTCTGTGCGAGCAGAACAGTTTGAGTTTCTTGTCACAAAGATTGATTGTGTGCAACTGCCTCCGTGAGAGCTCACTGGTTTGTGTCGAGCGCCAAATGTCTGATCAAGCCAACTTCACACAGACGCTCGATTCTGGAGGTGTCTAATTCCCTGACCCCATTAGTTGCTGCCAGAATCAAAAAACTCAACACTTTATTTATTCTGTCTACTTTCTATCCCGGTCGCTCTCTTTTTCACTCTGCCTTTGTCTAATGCTGTTTTCACTTCTTCAATATACTTCAGGGAGTTTCCTTTATTTTTTTTTTCCCCCTCACAAAGTTGAGATTTATCCATGGAGCGAGAGAGACATCTAGTGTCCTTTTGGAAAAATAAGACAAATTGGTTTCTTTTCCATTATTTTTCATAATATTAAAAACAATCAGTTTCAATATTGTTAAAAAATAGGTTATTTGTAAAAAGAAAACAAGGAGACACCAACATTATAATCTTATGGCATTCCTAAAACTCATGTATTCAGCCCATAAGCACAGTAAATGCATGATAGGTGTAATCACAGTAAATACTATATTAAATGTTCAGGGCTCAGTAGTCACTTGAAATAGAAAAAAGGGGGAATTGGCAGGTACTCTAAAAGCAGCAATTTACTTCAACTTTCAATTTCCTCAAACTGTCTCAGTTTCCAGCTCCCCTTACTACCTGTCTATTTGAACACCATGTCTGTTGTCTACTGTGAATTACCTAGATAGAAAAAAAAAATGTAGCCGGGAAGACAAGAATGAAAAAAGACTGAAGGGAAGCTACAAAAACATAACTGAGATAAGCTGTTTTGGAAACCATAAAATCAACAAGAAATTGCCAATTTAAGCAGGTGGGTTCATTTTTGTGTATTTTCACAATTAAATAAAAATATATGTTTTTAACTAAGAATATGTACATGCTCTTAATTGTATTATGTGTCTTTTTCTCTCATTCACTCATTCGCTTTCTTTTGCCTGCTTTTCTTTAACTGAAACTCTCAGGCTTCTGGAGGACACAGAAGAAGACATTAGCATATTTCTTCAGATAAGGGTGGATGGTGCTCAATTCTATTAAAATGAAACTAGACTTCTTTGCATTTATTAATTTCACTGCATTGGAGTGGTGCTCTAGAAAAACAAATAGCAAAGGAAGGAAATGGCTGAAAGGAGGGAGGGTGTGAGGAGAATTGTAAATGAGGAAGTAGTATCTGTTTTGTGAAGTTCTTTTTTTTTTCCTGGTTATATTAATATTTTTATCCCAATGTTTCTGCAGCACACAGCCTATCATTTCCATCTAATATTATGATTTATTAACAGTGTGATGAGTGATTTTGTGGTCTTTTTGTGTTAGTAAAATGAAAGAGAATCCTTTGTATTCTTTTTTAATAAGAAAACTGATTATAAGAGATTAAAATTAGCCTGATTCTACATTTTACAGAATTACCCATAAACAGTGAAAAACTGTCTTATTTATGAAATAACTAACAAAGTAGCTGACATTTTAAAACAAGAACTGGGAAAAACGTATATTAGACTAAAAAAAATAGATATGCATTGTGGAAATCTTAAAAGTCCAACTTGCTGTCAAAAAAAATAAAGAAATACCCCAACCTTTACCTCATTTTATAAATCAAAAATAAATGTGTTACAACAACAAAGTATATCAGGTTTGCTATGTAAATGAGTGAGCAGATGAATATGTGAGGGAGTAGGTGTGTATGTGTGTGTTGTACCTGGCCAAATAATCGTTACGGATCAGTAGCAGGTGCTGCATCACAGACATGAAGTGGTTTTCAGCTTTGGAGTCTTTCACGGTGTTTGCTAAGATGTCAAACACTTCCCTCACATCAGTGACGCAAATCCAGTTAAGGCTCAATTAATCAAATCAACAGACAAGTTTAAAATATTCTGCACACAACATAGTTGAGAACCAAAAATATAACTGGTACATCTGCAGACAGCAAAGCTCATATGAAACACAGCTGAGGTATAAGAACACAATCAACTTAAACTGCACCAAACAAGTATGTTTGTGCTTTTACAAATAATATAAACCCCTTTTAATGACTTTAATAAATGTGCAGGCAGCAAAGGCTGGTTTTGTCTTTTTGCACTGGGAGACACCTGGTGTTGAAAATTATAGCAGCAAATCAAAGGCTGAAAATATTATAAGAACAAACTACAACCTTAACTATTGAAGTTTACTTCCTTGTAAAAATCCACGTTTTCTATCTTAAAGGAAAAACTGATAAGGGAACMAACTGTGTGATGAAAATCCCGACCTTATTATCATCACAGGTGACAAAGACGATAGCTACAGCTTATATGGAGCTCATCTTACATTTATCAGTCCTTGTCTATGATCTACAGCCATAGATGTAGCAACACAATTTATCAGATTTATACAGACTAAAGCAAATATTTTGTTTTTCTATTTAAACTATGTCTAAAGACAAAAACAATGTGACCCATCTCATCAAACCACAGATCAAGTCCCAAAATGTTATGTGGAGAAAAGGAAATTAACGTGGAGATTAAAATGTTAGCAACAACTACATTTTGTCAAAATATAAAAAATAAATATTTTATTTATGGGCTGTTTAATTGCAATATCTGAAATATAATCATGAAATAATTTTGAAGCATTTGTTTGAGTAACTCAAAAAGAAAAAAAAAAGTAGGTCCTCTGGATGGGTTATTCTTTAGTGAAACGTTTCGTCTCTCATCTAAGAGACTTCCTCAGTCTTGGACGAGAGACGAAACATTTCACTAAAGAAGAACCCATCCAGAGAACCTATTTTTTTTCTATCTGGGTTGCTGAGATGCATCAGAACTGTTTGAGTAACAAAATTATTAACAATATTTTGTATGTTTTTCCTGAGTTAGAAAAGCTTTTTATTTTCCAGCTGGTAAATCCTAATATTCAAATATTGTTTGAGGTTTCCTCTTTTAAATGACGTCAAAATTTCCTCATTAGAATCACCTAAAAAAACGAATTCAGACCAAATATCAACAGGTTATCCTGATTAGGAAAATGAGGCATATCTCTAGAACTGCARTATTAAGATGATCAAGGTATTAAAATATATCATACAAAGCAGGAATCTGAAAATGTGTTTAGATCATTTTGGCCAAATTTGACCTGATCTTCAGTTTAATGTGATGGGTCACAAATGGTGTCGATACTGAGCATAAACTTCCAAAGATCAAACGATTTGCTGCATTTTCATCACTACAAGTGGCATGCTGATATCCATTAAAATAAAACACTGTTACAAGTTTCAAAATGACAATGACAAATGGGACCAGCAATATTACCATGAAGAGGAAAGTACATATTTTATCACTTAGAATAGAGAATAGATTAACCCAGTTGAGAGATTATAAAAGGACAAAAGGTGCAATTTTTAGTACAAAGTTCTCAGTAGTGTTGCAAATGCTGTCAATATAAATATTTCTGCAGATTGATTCCAATAAATGATCAATATGAAAAACAAAAACATTTCTTTATCTTTCTCATAACAATTTAAAAGAAAAAGTGAACAGGAAACTTCTAAGATAACAGCATCATGTCATAATCAACTAAAAAGATGGTCATATTTTGCTTAAAAGATGTGACAGTTTCAACCAAAAATCAGGGACTTTTTCCCATCAGAAGGATATTCCATTTCGATGCGGATGTCATCAAGGCGAGCTTTGAGGTCCTCTGAGTCATCCTCAGCCTGCTCATGAAACACCAGGAGCTGCACCTTCAGTTCTTCATTTTCTATCTGCTGTACCTCCTGCAAGGAGCAGGATGAGACGGAGGCAGAGGGATGAAAAGGTTCAGGGGAGAATGACAGGAGGAACATTTTGAGCCTGGACAGTTGAGACTTTTTTTTAAATGTTCACACAACAAGTATGTGAAAAATACATTAAAGGAGACCTAATATGGGGGTCCTAGAACAAGTTAGGATCCATCTGTGGGCTCTACAAAACATGGTCATTTGATTTAATTCACAAAATTAAACTCAGATAATGAAATTTCACCTTTTCAGTTCTGCTTGTTCTTCAGCTCTCCTCAGAACCTGTTGCTTTGCATAAGTTGCTATGGAAACCCCATCCCAACCTTTTGTTTATGTTAGCTCTGCCCCCTGCCAGAAGTTTACTTTCAGTTTCCTTTCAGTTTCTTTTCAGTTGAAAGTACTGTTTTTCCAAAGTAGTTCATGGTGAAATTATTTACACAAACTTCCTTTAATATTACTAGAACATTGCCATCAAAAATAAAGTTAAATAAAAATAAAATTAATCCACACATCTCTGTTCTCCTTGACTGTTCTAAAACAGCAGAACCGTCCTGTGAAGAAGTGGGCGGAGTCTCTGCTTGGGTTACCAGGAGACGAGCTGGGCTCAGGTTGGGGTGGGCTGGGGTGCGACTTGTGACGTCACAAGTAGCGGTGTTTGAAAACAGGTCATTTCAAGACACAGAAAAATTCATTTACTTCTAGTAAAAATACCTGTGAGTGCATTTATTTTGGACTGTTTTTAGAAGCAGTACAGACCCAAATGTAAGTTAAAAAAATACTTAAAAAAGAGAATTTTGCATATTTGGTCCCCTTTAACAATATACTGYATTTCACTGCAGCAACTTCACAGAGTATTTATTATGTTTTACCTTCAGCATGTCTCTAAGGCCAAGTCTTAGCAATTCAGAGCGAATATGGATTCTAAAGTCCAACTCTTCACCCCGGCTGATTAAAGCGTTGATCAGCTGCATGCAGCCAGCCTGTCAAAACACATCAGATGGACAGCTTTACAGATTAAACTGGCTGGCAAGAGGGAAAAATAGATACGGAACAAGATTTGCAAGATGATTAAATATTTTAGACTCAAATGTTTTTCAAGTGATCAATTATTTGAAAAAAAAGAGCCTATTATTAAAATCTGTGAACTGTTTCTGCATTTGAGTGCATACCTTAAGAGGAATGTTGTGACTGTTCATGCCAGCAAGAAGAGGCTGAAACCTCTCAATGTCCCGTCTCTCAGCCTCTTCTGTAAGAGCCTCCAAAACACGCTCGTGACTACAAAAAAAAACATTGATACAGAAACTTTCCCATGTAATCACATTAAACATAAAAAAAGAGCACAGGTTTAACTAAAAAAAATAATATAGAAAAAAAGCATGGCAATGAGAAAACCTGGTGTTGTTAGACTTGAGCTCAAGGCATATACAGATATATTTCTGTGTTTAACTTCATTACTTGATTTCAACATGTGACAGATTCTTACAGGCTTTCAGGATGTTCCAAGATGGAGATGGCAGAGAGCAGTTTCACAGCATCCACCATCATGTGGGGCACCCCAGGGTTGATGGCTCTGACCAGCAGAGGAATTCCCTCATCTGACTCCAACATGGATTTTAAACCATGCTAACAAAGATGATAAGAAGAACAGAAATGATCCACTCATGTTTTAAATTTTCTTTGATGTAAAAATTATTTGACCTAACAATGTGTGTTTAAAACTAATGAAATATCCTAAACATATCCCATTTATCTAAATGATATTTACAGGTGGATACAAGCACAATAAAATATTACAAACCAAAAACGACCAAAAATCTAATATTGAATTACTACTGCCATCTAGTGGAATAAATTGACACTACAAAAACTTTGCAAATATGTCACTTTTACAAATTCATACATTAAATATTAGCAAATTTATAAAAGAAAATATTTTCATGTACACAAAGAACCAGCCAAGTGTCTCACCTTGTTGTTCATGAAAGCTTTCAGACAGCGAATTATCTCATGTTGACATTTTACACCCATTGGTCTGGTATGTGGATGAGAGGGAGACAGACGAACATCACAAACACCATCAACCACTATAAAAATGAACCACCTTCTTTTCTATGCCTCATATGACTTACGGGTATTCGTCTTTCTCCTCCTGTAGCCTCTTTAACAAACTTAGAAGCAAAGCCAGGCCCTCGTTTCCAAAATTCTGCACCCAACTGGAAGAGACAGTCAAATTTGTTTTGTCCTTCCTTTCGTTACACCAGATCCATTTTATGTATTTAGGTCATAATAAAATCTCTTTTTTTCATTAAAACCTCATCTTACATGCCATTCTTTCAGTATTTAATTAGATATCAAACTTGCAGTTAAATGATTCTTTTAGAATTTCTATGCAAATAAACAGCTGAGTATTTAAAACAACATCTGCATGTGAAACATGTTTAGATGAAAATAGGCTGCTGATGGATTTATGTATCCACCTCATGTGCTAATGTTTTGCTAATAGCAAATAATACTGGATGCTAGACTAAAACAGATCAAACTAGAACACTCAGTTTCTTACATTTAAAATACTTCAATCCAGATTTACTATTAATGGGAATCATTGCACTGTTGGAACTTCTACCTCAGCTTTCAGACATGTTTAAACTCCACTGCAGGCTGATGTGTTGTGACAGCTGATATGTGCACTTTGATAAAACTAAAAAATGTTTTTTGAAAAAAAACTAATCAGTCATTTCTCCTGTGGTGATTCTCAGTTTTGTTTAGAAACTTTTCTAAGCTGTGGCTGAACTTCTTAATTACAATCCTGACACCTACACCAAATAATCTGCTGATTGTAGATTCTTTCAAAACCGCTTACTTCTATATTCCATAAACAGGGATGAATAGATGGTAAATGGTAAATGGACTGTACTTATATAGCGCCTTTCTATCCATCCAGGACACTCAAAGCGCTTCACACTACAGACATTCACCCATGCACACACACATTCACACACTGATGGCAAACTATATTGTAGCCCTGGGGCACACTGACAGAAGTGAGGCTGCCACACACAGGCGCCATCGGACCCTCTGACCACCATCAGTAGACAAGGCGGGTAAGGTGTCTTGCCCAAGGACACAATGACTGAGTCAACTGGATGGGGATCGAACCGGCGACCTTCYGGTTCCAGGACGACTCCCCTAACCACTCTACCACAGCCGCCCAGGAGCACAAAGGTAACCAGAGAGGTTCCCAGTGTTTGACAAGATGAGTCAGATCAAATCAATTTTATTTTTAGAGCACATTTAAAAACAACTGGCGTTGGCCGCAATACAAATATCTAGAGTCAATGACGTGGTCTCAGCCTGAGCAGCAATCCAGCAGATAGAAAATACTTCTACAGCCAGAACATCTGATGCAGCATTTCCTCAGGAAATTTAAAGTGTCGGTTTATGAAACAATAACTTTGTCTTCATGAAGCACTTTCAAAATCCTTCAGCAATCAAACAAGTCAAGTAAAATGTCAGATATATCCGACAGTGTTTAATAAACAAATGAGACCTGGCACTTTAATGAACTGTGCTTTAACAGAAACAGAAAGTGAAGCAATATTTAAAGTCTGAACTACTTACCTGACAGGGTTGTTGTTGAGTGAGACTCTCAGGGATTCGAGACAGCTCAGCAGTGGTGTACCTCTGTTGTCTGATTTTAGGTCCTGGATGTACATGAATGCTGACTTGGAGCTCTCCTTCTGGTTTTGGCTCTGATAGGTGAACACAAACATACACAGCATCCACATTAATACAGGTGTTTTTGTTGCTGTTTATTTTTTATTTTATTTTATATGTTACTCGTTTATAATATAACTGTCTAAACATGGTCTTATTTGGCCAGTAGATGAGAAATCTACGTTCACACTGCAGGTCTTAATGCTCAATTCAGATTTTTTGAAAAATCCAATCTTTTGGTGTGAACGTTCACACTACATTTGAAATACAACCTGCATCAGACTCCTGTGTGGACGCTACACAGCACTGATGTGACACGCATGCGCAGTAAAGACGTCCCGTCTCTTCAGCCGGCTTGTTTGTTTACAGAGCTAGCATGGATGCTACTTTTTGCACGTTGCATCTGAAGTTGTTTAATCAGAGCCGATTAAATAATTATCTGACCTGCTTGTTTAGTTCAGTGTTTATATCAGAGCCTGCCTCTGACTGAGATGCTCTGGTGAAGCTTTTTATTTTTGAACGAAACTACGAGCTGGAAAAAAGTATCGACGAGTAACTTTAGGATCGATTTACTCCGCGACCCAGGCTGGACGCAAGTAAAAAGATGAAGCAACTGGACTTGTGTTTTGGAGCTGTAAACACATGGAGCTACAGATTTAAACAGCGTGACTTCAGGTCTTATCGATCCTTCACCCCCTGCTGATGAAAAAGTCAGATGTAATGCGGCATGAGTGTTCACACTGCAGTCACTTTTGAAAACATCAGATATGTATCCGATTTAAAAGTACATACTGAAACGGCCTGGGTCAGATTTGAAAAAAAATCGGATTTGTCGCGTTCAGACTGTCATAAAAAAATCGGTTATGGGTCAGATGGGTCAAAAAAAAAAATCGAATTTGGGTTGGATTTGCCTGCAGTGTGAACATAGCCTAAGGATGTTGTCATGTTCTTTTCAGACATTTTTAGAAGCAGCTATTCACAACAGGCCATACTTAGTTTTTCTAGTTTTTCTCAATTCTTTGAACTTTAACATTTAACCTACTAAATGATATCTACACAGACGAGTTTGGTGATTTTCAACTTTTTGTGACTTAGCACGCTCTGACCTAAGGGTGAACCTTCAGCAGATTACTTTACTTGTTGACCTCTGACTTCAAGCTCTCTTGCTGTAAAATGATTCACTTTGTTTGAAAACAGCCTTCAACCTTTTCCAGCTTGAGGGGCAGAAACTGTCACTCTCTAAGATCACAGCTGATGTCTTTCCTCTTTGGTACCATCTCTTAATGCTACAGTTCAGCAAACTTCTGAAAGCCATTTTCAAACACCTGCATACACTTTATGCAAAAATAGCAGTTTACAAATGTTTGTTTTTGTTGTCTGTTTGTTAAGAAAAATGTAATGGCAAGGATCTCTATTTGCTTGACTTAGACGAAAACGGTCTCTAAATTCATTTTAGCACTGTTTGTAATTATATTTCTTTAAAATACTAACAGCTTTAGTGCTGTGGAGATACTGAGACAACATCTCTCGTTTGATCCCAATGTCCTTTTCTCTTAGAGGCTGCTTCTGCTTCTCGTCATTCAGGTTCATATCCACCTGGAAAACAGCAAAAGATGCTTAAAATATGTTGAAACAAGGAGAATTAAAAAAATGAGAAAAATGTTAAACAATTTAAAAAATCTCTCACTGCATATTTTTACAGCAACAAATTTACATTAATATTTAAGTAAACAGTTAGCAACATTGCTACATAATTCACAGTTTAAACACACTTTTAACATAGGATCTCAAATCCTGCACTTAATTTTAGTTTGTTTAAATATATCCATTTAGACTAAACACAGACAGAAGCAACCATTTTACAGCTATGCATATAAACAAAACAGTCAAAAGTGTGGTTAGCAATTGGGTAATCCAGTAAAATGTTTCTATGCAGTCAGTGTTACACTAATTGTTGACCATATATGCCTCTGAAGCTTTACAAGCAAGCTGATTTTTATGAAACTCTCTAAAAGTTGAGTCCTACACATTTGTTCAGTTTTTTTCCCTCACCAACATCTGTTCAAACTGTTCCAAGATGTATTCATCAGGAAATTCCTGCATCAGGAGGACGCCCTGAGAGCTGAGCTCATAGCTTGCAGCTGAAGAATTTCGCTGACTTGGAATCTGGCTCGATTTCTCTTTGTCCTTTTTCGATCTCATGCTGGTGAAGCGTTCCAACTGGATTAGTGGACAAAAACAAAGCCAGTTAGAAAAAAAAGGACAAGGACAGTCACTAAAACGAAAGGCCTGCAAATATGAAAGAAAAAAATTAAAACATTTAAAAACATAACATACATAATTTTTTTTTGTCTGAGTTGTTGCAAAATTTTATTCTCTTGGTTTGTGGATAATATAAGCCCCTTTCAGATGTTCAAGTGTTTCCAGAAAATGTGACAGCACTATGACATTAATTCTTAAAGCAGCAACGAAAACTGTTGTCATAGTCCAAATTTATTCACACAAAATTCAAAATGTGCACAAACCTTTTATGAAAAGCAAAGCAGGCCTTTAATCACGTTTTATCAGTATTAAATTTGATTTTGTTGATAAACTGTGGAGGACTTAGAAAAAAATCATTTTTCTTAGCTGAGATCAATCTGTAAAAATTCAAACAGTTATGCCATCTATGTTACTAGAATGACAAAGCATGTATTTGTAAACAGCAATCAAACGGGATTAAACTGCTATGATGTTTTTGTTGTGTCAGTTCGGTTGTTTAAAAAAGTTGTATTTCTGCCAGAAATTATTAAAAATATTAAATCTGGGGGGGGAAATCTTTTTTAAACTTAAACTTAAAGTGAACACACACCTTGTTAATCAGAGCCAAAATGCCTCAAAAAGGCAATTTAAAACAACTTAACAGTAMAGTGTGTTCATCTGAAAAGGGCTAAGACTCCAAAAGCACAAAAATCTCAGCCCACATTTTGGCATGAAACATTGCCACACAAAGTCCTTCACATGTATTTTCTATCACTATGGCTTTTAGGACTTGGTGTGAACTTTAACTGCCAATATATGAACTACATATTTAAAAACACAAAACATTGAGAAACATTCACTTTGGCACATACATATTTAGTGACTACAACAGAGTCTTCTGCCATTTTCCTGTGCATGAAGGCATCACATGTATGTGCCAAATATCTATGTTATCAGTGTACTTCTTCAAAMCATGCTCGTTAAAATAAAGCAGCACGACACAAGACACTCAGTAATGAACATGTTATGATTAATTAGGCTACTGACAGACACAAACATGAAAATTACACATCATAGTTTGGTTTATTAAAAGCCACAAAGTTAAAGCACCCAGGTGATAGTAAGACATCAACCTACCTCATCAGGAAACAGTCGTTTCAGTTTCTGTAGAGCATGAGCAAACCAAAGGGAGAAAATGCAAAGAAGAGTGGGGGGAATAGAAAATCAACACAGCGACAGAGAAAAGAAGTGACAAGGAGAAGGAGAGGGAGAAAAATGAAGAATCCATTAGACAGAATTACTTATGACAGGTAAACAGATCAAGGAAATATTCTATAGAATTCCTGAATGGACAGGAAAAAACACCCAATTAGAAACTATAGCCAGTTYCCCATTTAGGATTATAGTCAGACATGTTTTATAATAATAAAGAGATTCTAAGTTGGGATAAAAAGAAAGTTTAATTAATAAATGGCACAAGGGAAAAAAGTAGTGCTATGAAAAGGTTAATAAAAGAAAAAGATTAACCACTAGGTGTCAGTCTATACCCAAAAATGTTCTGTAGAAAGCCGTGTTTCAGCAAAAAAGGAAAGCAGTTTAGCTTGAAAGAACAGAACAAACTCCATGCTTTTCAATAGAAAAAAAATATTAAGCATCAAAAAGAAAAACAAACATAAAAAAATTATTTAAAAAAATTATCATATGAATAGAAATCCAGTGTTTCATTACTGAGGGTGAAAATGCCGTGAGCTCAAATTACATCAAAAACTGTCAAATTTTAGTTCTTCATTTCTATCTTCTACTGATTTTCCACTGTCGGGTCTTGAAGGCAACAGGTTCAGGAGAGAAAACCAGACATCCTGAGGTAGGATCTCAAACAGATGTCTAAAACACCTCAACTGACTCCTTTCAATGCGAAGGAGCAGGGCTCTACTTCAAGTTTGCCCTAAGCCCAGCTAACCTACGAAGGAAGTTCATTTCAGCTGCTTGTTTGTGAAATTTCATTCTTTCAGTCATGATCTATATCTCATGATCATAGGTGAAGATTGGAATACAGGTGGACCAGTTAATCAAATTTTTGTACTCCTTCTCCATCATGGCAGACGGAAGCAGCATTATCAATAGTAAGACTGAGTGGTCAAGCATTATCCTACTATCACTCGTGAACACCCAGACACTTGAAGGCATCCTTTTGAGGCAAAGACTATTTGGAATTGTAAAGACAGACCCTGTGAAAGCAAAGTAGTAACAGATGTCTGAAGAAAAAACTAGATAATCAACAGGCACTTGAGGTTAAACATCTAAATATACCAAACATAAATTTAAAACAAGATTTGGGGTAAGGTAATATTTTAAAAATAAGCTAATATAAAATATTTTATTGCGCATTTTGTAATTCCTATAAAATCGCAACTTTGTTTTGACTGTAAGACTGACCAAGTGTTGCAAAACTTTCAATTTGATGGTGAGATGTTCACTGTCACTGAGATGTTTGCAGTCCTGTGCTGAACCTCTGTGGCACTAACAAATTCCCACTGGATCCTGCAACTGTAAGACTTAAACCGCACACGTGTTCTTCACATTATTACAGTAAAACCTTTTCCAATATTGAGCCAACTTATGAAGCAGTGGTGAAAAGAGGAACACATTTTAATGTATTGCTTCTCCTTTTAAATACTGTAATGATTTACAGTAAAGCAATGCACTTGTCCTTTGTGCTTAACTTTTAAAGGATTAACTCTCAAACTATATTATTTATGTATAAAAGGCAAAAATTGTTCTTTTTTTCCCCCTTTTTTATGAGACATGTCCCCTATGGAGTTTGGTATTTCTATAATGATCATCACTGAAATATAACAAGGATGCATGTTTTAATTTCTTTAAGGTTGGCGTAAAATGAAAAGTAGCCATGTCCTTATGAAACCTTTAGAAAATCAATAAAAGTCAATATGCTCTCTCATGACATGGTATTAATGTGTGAATATTATAACCAAGACTGGTGAAAAACACTACCAACAGTTCCAACATATTGTTAATTACAAACTGCAGTATTTTCCAAAAAAAAAGTTAAAACTTGTGTAAAGCAGTTTAACTCTTAAGCCAAGCACCACTTCAAAGATTTACTGTAAATGTGATTTTTCTGAATATTTATTATGTGAATTTTACCTAACTTGTAACACTATATAATGCATATTTCACATCAATGATTGCCTTTTTGCTTTACTGTCTGTTAGTCAAGTTCTGTAGACAATAGGGCTGCCACGATTAATCGATTAATCGACGACTAATCGATTATTAAAATAATCGATGACTAATTTAATAATYGATTAATCGTTTTCTTATTTTGTTGTTGTTCTTTGTTTTTCTCTCCAAACTGCTTTGACACCTTCCACTGCCACATCTGCCTTTCTGTCCTTGACACACATGCACAGTAGTGGTAACTGGGGTAGGCCGTGGACGTCACAAGACATTATACAGACAGGCTCTGGTATCATGGCTACCTGACAACAGAGCTCAAAGTGTGGGATCATTTTAAGAAAATGAAAGAGAAACCTGTGTAATATCTGCAGAGCAGAACTTACCTTCCACAGCAAATGTTTTTACTTAGCATATAGCTAAAATCTAACCATGGTTATATAATAGCAGCTGCATTCTGACGTGATAAGCTCTATGTTTTATATTCAATTAATGTATGATCTGATTAGTCGACTAATCAAATAATCAATCGGTGATTAATCGATTATTAAAATAATCGTTTGTGGCAGCCCTAGTAGACAACAGTCTGAAGTAGGAGATCAAGACAAAGAGAGAATGAAATAATGGGTAAAAAAGAACAAGGATGAAGTAGAGGGGCGAGTAGAGGGGTGTTTCCACTTTCACAGCTGCCATTACGTAACAGATCCTTAAAGATCACACGCATACAGAAAAAGACAGGAAGAATGAAAAAAAAAAGAAAAAGAAAAATCACACACACATGCAAAACAAATGTGGTATGATGTTGCCCACAGAACGGAAATGCACAACTGGCAGTAGACACAGTGAATTCTGGGTAACTGCATAAGAAACTACAGACGACTTAGAAGACGAAATAGAGCAAAAGACTGAAAACGCCCTTGACTAAATCAAACCGTGAAACTCAGCTCAAAAAACCACAAGTACAGACAGTTAATTTGTATACTCAGAACCAAAGCTAAAGGATGCCGGGCAACAGAAGTCAAAGTACAGGTAAATCAAGCCCTCCTCCCAGAGTTAGATTTGACTTCCCATCTGCAAACTGAGAGATAATTTCTATTATCCATTACTTCATGTATTTAATGTGGAAGCAGTTAGAATAGGCACACAAACATTTCTCTTCAATATACYTTTCAGTTAAGTGCCTAATGTAGATCTAACATTTTTCGATAAAAATGCCCAAATACAGAAATATGTATGACTGATAGCCCACCAATGCACTTTGTTTTGTTGTGTGATGCACCTTTATTTAGTGGTTTGCTAAAAAGATGGTGTACATCAGGACAAGACTGAAAACTAAACAATTTGAAAATGCTAGAAAACAGGGTCATATTTTTAGGAAAATAAGTAATGTACACAATTCTTTGGCCAAATATACACCAGGTTAGTAGTAGATGGAAAACCAAAAGTACAGCAACATCAAGGATAAGCTGTGCTAACAGAAGGCTGTTCAGTTGTCATGGTGTCCTCTGCACACCATAACTAAATAAGACAACTTGGTAAAAGGCTTTGGAGTGTCACATCATGTATGCCACTCAAGCTAAAATACTTGATTCCAGCAACCAGCTAAACACCTGTTGCATCCACAAGCACTCTCATGTTCTGAGTCAACACTGAAACCAACCCATAACTCTTTAATCCACTTTAATGTCACAAAGACTGCAATTTGGTCTATTTTGTTTTGTGTTAAGTCAACTTGTTTCCAATCAAACAAACCAAACAGAAAGACAGGCCAGCAGAAAAACAGACTAGCAGAAAAAAAGAAAAAAAAACATATTTTATCACAAATATATTTGTCACTTGCCAGTATCTTTTTGAAATTTAACTACTGAAAATGCTATTACATCACTGTAGCCCTTGGTAATAAAATTAAGCAAATTAAATAAGGAGGCCATCAATAATTGTGCAACCTAATCTAATAAGACCATATTGCCATGATTTGTTTCAATACAAAAAATACTATCCAGGTATAATTCAATTAATATCATGGCATTGCCCTTTAATTATGGTGTAAATTTGAGAACTTATAAATGTTAAATTGTTTATTAATAAACAAAACAGATAGCTCAGCACAACAATGTAAAACAAAAGCTGTAGGCAAACAGAATAGTTTGTGTGTGGTGTGATAATATCAGCCACATTAATTATGCTTACAAAGTAACCATGACTACATACTGTCTGTGCAAGGAGAAGAAGTATGCACACCCAGACACTTGGTTCCTACACATCGTACTGAAGCAGGAAATTACAAACAGTTCTGAAGTGTTTTAGACAGAAAGTAGTTCCAACATCAACTCCTTTCTTCTGGTGTGACAGAGTAAAATTCTTTGTGGTTTGAGCCATTTTTCACATCAAACGTCAACAAAATGCACTGATCATTAGATATATGAAAAAGAGCAATACAAGTTTATTTTAATCTTTACTGGCAGTAAGTTGATTTGCCTTATATTAATTTGTAAGTTTGTTATTCAGTGCACAGTATTATAGGTGTTCATTGTGAAGCCTGAAAAAATAGTATGCTCTTTGTATGTTTGACTTGATGCTTGTTCACAAAATTACTCAACTAAAGTGCAGGATTTTTGCAAAAGTTTGTAATCTAGAAGTGGATTAAAATGGGGGCACTTTAGGTTAAATTTTAAATGCCAACACACTTACTAAAACAATGTTTCATTGGTTTACTGTCAATCCTGTTACCTACTCTGATGTTGTAATGCAAGGCTATTCAACCGAATTGCTCAGGAAGCCACAGTAACTGACAGCCAACAACTCAGGGGTCAGACAGCTGGCAACTATTGTTACTAGGTGAATTTAACTTGTGATTTGAAATCTAGTTGTATCTTAATCAAATTTATTGGGAGGCAGACTAAGTTGTATAGCCCTGTCATTATGTGACAGATCATCTATATAACAGAAACATATCGGACAGAAATATT